ATACCTTTTTGTTTGTTTGGTTGTTATTACGTTAATTTTTTATGGTAATCTACAAATAGATCGCTAAGCTATACAGAGATTTTTTTATACAATTTTTGCTTACTTAGAAATAAAATCATGTACTATTCATTTCACTGACAATGCTAAAGCTAAACATAATGCACATGACAAATATTTCAAAATGCGATCATTATTTGAAAAAGTGAATTGAAGAAATTTGGGGGTTTTCAAGAAAACCTGTTAATTGATGAAATGATTGATAGGCACTAGGGTCGGCAGTCGCAAAAACAATTTATAAAAGCAAAACCAATTCGTTGTGGGTGTAAACTGTGGGCGATGTGCGGCCAAGACGGATACTGCTTTTGTTTTTCACTTTTTGCTGGAAAAAAAGCCTTTAGGTAGTTTTAGAAAAGCTATCAGTAGTATAGAAAGTGCGAAGAGCAACTGGGTGTGTTTGGATAATTTTTTTAGTAGTCACGCCTTATTTTAGAAGCCGAGAGTTAAATGGAATGACAATAAGTGTGTTTCAATGGGCACAAATTTTGATCAGGTAGAGCCTCTAGCAGTTATACGGAGGAATAAGAAGGAATGCCAGTTCCTCATTCCAGAGTGATTTATAACTACAGTCAATACATGGGAGGAGTAGATCACCATGACTGGCTTTTAGAAAAACACAACATTGCCATCCGAGGAAAAAATTGGTACTGGTGTTCATTCACTAAGATGATAGATGTCAGTCATTAATTCATTTCTGCCGTATAGAAGAATCAATGGAAAGAAATAAATAAATTTGAAAGATGTTAGGCGCGAAATTGCGGTGACCTACCCTTATTTTACCATCAACTTAAAAACCACGCGTGCCAGATGATGTTAGACTAGATGAGAAGGTACATTTTTTGGGAAAGAGAGCCAGCTAAAAAAGATGTCAATGTACCTCTTGTAAAAGTAGACCCCTTACTTACTGCAATCAATGTAGCATATTACACTTTACACCACCTGTTTTATAAAATATCACCGCATGAATTAGATATTGCATCCTAATAAAATACATATTTTTATTCTTTTTTACTTATTCGCCCAGCGATATACTATTTATAAATCAACTTTTTTTTAAAAAAAATCAATTTATTTTATAATTTTTTTTTGATACATTTTAACCAAAATAACATAAGCAAACTGATTTGGGCCTGAGTTAAATGTAATTTAGAAAAGATTTTAGATAAATGGCTAGTGTATGTAAGATAATTGGGTAATTTAACTTATTTCTTACCAAATTTACTAATACAATCCCCTCACGTTGTTGCTTTTTAATGTTTCCTTAATCTATGTTTCCTAATTAAACTCATCATTAATTCTTCGAAAAAACCATTGGATTAATAATAAGATATAATAAATTTTATAATATAGTAGTATATTGTATGAACCAACAACTTAAGTGAAGAATGTTTATGCTGTATACAGTTTTCTTGTTAAATTTACTAATTTGCCGGTATAGGAAATTTTATACGCGTACCGCTTCATAAGAAAAGAGAGCGGAACTAATATTCGAGAAAATAAAGCGCGTTACGATAAGAATCGAGTGTTCAAGCAGATAAAAGTCGAAATGCTACAGTGTTACCGGTTCTAAAAACCTTCGCATGTATAAAAAAGATAGTGAACGCTTAGGTTTCGTTGGGGTTTTTTGATCACTGGAGCTCGGCGAGTACATAAGTAAAAATTGGGTGAGAGAAAGGCGCGCTTATCCAAACTTTCCAAGCGAATCTATATGCCTGCGCTCTCATATGTATTGCTTAGCCAAACCTTCAAGGCAAACCTACATACCTACATAACGAAAATTTATAGATCGCTGGGCTTTCAAGGCAAATCTTGTGAGTTATGTACTCCATTTTTTAGATCGCGTAAAATTTCATTGTTAGTTAAAAGTTCGTACCGAAAGCAGTAGGTATGTAAAAGAATCGCTAGTCGCGCTTTTATTTTGAATAGAATTGTATATCGGGTGTTTGTTTAATTACACATATTAAAAAATGTAGGTAATTAATTAGACTCGAAACGTGATCACAATATAGGAATTGAAACTTTATTTTATATTAGTTCGTTACATGACGTACATCAATATTTCAAATCACAAAAAATTTAAAGGAAACTGGAGTAGGAATGATATTATTTTCAACAATATATTCAAACAATTTAATTTATATGAGGATTTATTTGAGAAGGATCAAACCAGAGCATCGGATTGTAATGTTCAAATTATATGTGGAGATAAATAACCAACCTTCCTCAAGGTAAAAGTCATCGAAAATGTATTCATTATTGAGGTGATATTAATTAGTTCATTACAAAAAATTAATTGCTAAAGTAATAGTATTTTACATTATTAGCCAGGTAAGTTAGTTTTTACTGGCGATAGGAGAAGTTGACTGGCGAGCCGTTAGGCGAGCCTGTCATCTCCTAGAGCCAGTAAAAACTATTACCTGGCGTATAATGTACAATATTTTATTTGTTACTCATTTGTAAACGTAAATAATTAGTTTTTAAATTGATCTTGAAGAAATGTCTAAAATATCATGTGATCCATGTAACAGAGACTTCGCATTAATTCTGGCCAATGAAATTACTAGATTACTAACTTGTAAAATTTTTACAGGTCTGCTGTCAGTTTTACAAGTCTGCTGTCAGTTTTACAAGTCAGTAGCGTTTAACCATGACGTTTACCCGTTTGCGTTTTGTCTTGTTAATCAACGTTTACAACTGAGTAACAAATAAAATTTATTTTCTGCAAGAGGGGTTTGTAACCCCTGTAAATGTAACTACGCCGTTACAACAGCTCGGTTAATTTAATCAAATCGTTAACTTGAGCGTCCTCGCCCTTTTCAGAACATTAAAAGGTTGTTTAAGGTAAAAAAAAACATTAAAAGATTACGAAGACGAAGCCGCCTACAGAACAACGTATCGCCCTCCCAGAGTCTTACAGACCTTATGCCATTGCAAAGTCGTTTTGGATTCAAGTTCCTCGACAGCATTACACAGCGCCAGTCCTTTTGCGCATTTTCCAACTCATGTTGGAAGGTACTATTAAGATTGTTTCTCACTATACATAACGTGTTTCCATACCATATCCTTTCTATAACCATTCCGTAAATTATGAAATTGACCTTTAAGTGATATTGTGCGTAAGACATTCAGCCGCGCGCTAATACACATTCTCCTTACGGAATGGTTATGGAAAGGATATGGTATGGAAACGTTATGTTAAGTGAGAATCAACCTTTATGGTCACTCTATCCGACCGTCAGTCTATCCGAGGCCTTAACTACTCCTACAGTTCTTTTTTCTTTTTGCATTCGGTAGCTTATAGCTCTGACAACTGAGCCAAGAAAAATCTTGACGATTAATGTGCGGGTAAAGTAAGGGTTGTAGGGAACTACCCATCGATTATTCAATAGTGTACTGTTTACTGTTTACTGTAAAGCTTCTCCCATTGTTCTTTATTGCGGATCGTCAACGTTAATGTTGGCTTCGGAACAAAATCTCGGAAAATTGCCCACGTACGTACATACCTACATACAGACGTAAAAAATGATATTCGTTAAAAGATGCTTAAAATGATCTAAAACTTGGACATTTGACGAAATTCGGGTGTGTCTAAAAACGGTGATAACTTGAGCTAGATAGCCAAAAATTATCGCCCAACCCTTGGAGAAACCTTTTTGCATTATTAAATCAAGTGGAATATTCAAATGCGTATAGGACAAGCTATTCACAATACAAAAGATAATAAATAGACTAGTTTTGTGTTAGTCAGGAGCATATGTTATCAGTTTCGTCACTCGCATTAGTGGTCATTATGACCGTACAGAGGTAGTGTTGTATTGATATTCGAATCGGTCGTGTCGTGTCGCATTTGCGGGAATGCTAAGGGTAAGTTATTTAACTCATTCATTTAGCTATACTTGTGTTTATAATTTATACGAAATTTAAAACAATAATTATTCGATTGGTTTAATTGGTATTTGGCAACCGATTTTCGTTGTGAAGGTGCAATTCTGGTCTCAAATAATATTTTAAAACTTTCAAGGCATTCTTACCGGAAAATATTCTATTCCGTATTTTGTAACCTAAAAAATTCAAAAGTACCCTGTGAAAAACCTCTTGTAACCCGATGATAATTTTTAGGTAGCGAAATATACGCATTAATTACATTTTACTTAACGGATGATAAAAACCCACCCCCAATTAAATAAAAACATGATTCATCCTGTGAACTGTAACTTAATGGGTATAGTTGGATCTGAATAAAATGAAAGTCCTCGTATGAGATCGGTATTGTTTTAAATGTGAATTGAAAGCCCTGCATGTGTGTTAGCTCCTATATTATGTATTCGTATTAAAATGTACGAACTGTACAATATACAAGCTATTAAGATAACTAGGTGTTTTATAGGTATTTTCCGTATTTTAAAGGATGATGCCCATTTTTAACGGACAGACTCCTTTTAACTATAAAACACCGTGTTATCTTCAAGATTTTTTATAACACTTGTTAATACTTAACCAAAGAAAACTGGTTATTGGTAAAATCCCCCCTTCTTGTTTACCTGTATTGCAGAAAATAATGTAAATTTAGTGTCTAACTGAATCTGCCTCAGAGCAGTTGAATTGTAATAAATTTTACATTACAGCAAGTATTTTATTTATTCAGTTTAATAGGCACTCGATAAGTTAAATTAACAATGGTCCTTCGAGCCGGATGTCCGGTTAAAACATTCAAACGCAATCAAATTTAGTCACAATAACGCGAATCGTGAGTGGTTACCAGTCAATTATTACAATTTCATCGGCAGTCCAAATACAAATCCATCGATACAACATCCAACAACAAAGAAAAGGAAAAGTGCATCCATTCATCTACCTGGCAAGCTTACCATAACATCAAGTAAGAATTCCTTATTTACCTATTTTTAATCCTTCAAGGCTTCGACACAATAACATTACTAACAATGCCCGATTCCAATAATACTGAAAAAATTAAAGAATTGCATTACAAACGCGGAAATTTTAAGACAAAGGTAACTTTATTTCAAAGGTTCATTAATGGTTTATCTCCTGATAATATTGCAGAAACAGACCTCATTAACCTGCAACAAAGATTAGCTAAATTTCAATTAATATATGACCAATTTGACGACATTCAAAATCAATTAGATAGATTAAACCCAGATTGTGAGGATAATTTAGAAGAAAGGGAACAATTTGAAAACAATTACTATTCATTATTATCTCAAGGTCAACAATTAGTGAATCTTAGAAAACCGCCAACTGAAATAGCAAATGTTTCCCAAACGGCCAAATCGGCTAACGTTAAATTACCTAAACTCACAATCCCATCTTTTGATGGCAGTTTTATTAATTGGCGCACCTTTCATGACACTTTTGTAACAATTATACATAATAATTCAGATTTAACAGATGTTCAAAAATTATGTTATCTCAGATCCGCTTTAAAAAATGAACCTGCAAATTTAATTAGCTCCCTTGACACATCAGACACAAATTATTCTATTGCATGGAAATTGCTACAGGAGAGGTACAATAACAAAAGGCGAATTATATACAATCACGTTCGAGAAATTCTGGATGTCAGTAATGTTAGCAAAGGATCTCACGTGACCTTAAGGCATTTAATTGATACAATTCAAAAACATTTAAACTGTTTAAAGGCAATGAACCAACCGGTTGAAAGCTGGAACGCTCTTTTAATTCCTATGCTGTTACCCAAATTAGATTTCAATACTATACGTGAATGGGAATCATTTCTCAATAAAAAATATGAATCGCGGGACGATATTCCCACTGTAGAGGAATTTATAAAATTTTTAAACGATAGACAGGGTGTATTAGAATCTCTTTCAATTAATCAGTCCTCATCAGTCAATTTTAAACCTTTTCCAAAACACAAAACAGATAACGTCAGTGCATTCGCTACAACTGCAACAGTAGATTCTCATTGTGCATCTTGCAAGGGTAAACACTACTTGTATCAATGTGAAGAATTTTTGAAACTCCCGGTCAATAAAAGAATTGAAAGAACAAAAGAATTACATTTATGTTTAAATTGTTTGAAAAAAGGTCATAATTCATTTCAATGTAAAAATGCACACACTTGCAAATCATGTCATCGAAAGCACAATACTTTGCTTCATATTTCCAATTCAGAGCAAGAACAATCCAAGGGCCCCAATAGGAACAGTAGCGAAATTAGTTCAAGGCAGGTACAGGCAATTAATGAATCATCTCAGGCATCGACGTCCTTAGCAAGTTACAGTTACAGTACATTACATAAAGGAAGGACGTCGTCCCAAGTTTTATTATCTACAGCATGTGTAAACGTTAAAGAGACTAAAGCTGGAAACATAATTATAGCCAGAGCCTTATTAGACTCTGCATCACAATCCAATTTCATTTCGGAGGAATTATGTAAAAAATTAAACCTTAAACGGCATGAAACAGATGTATCAATTGTAGGAATCAGTCAAACTCCCATAAAAACGATGGCGCGCGTTGAAATCAAGATTTATTCCCGTTATAATCATTACTCAGTCACATTGTCATGTTTGGTTATTCCAAAAATTACGGACAACTTGCCATCCTCAAACTTTAATGCAAATATTTTAGATATACCTAGCAATTTAGTATTAGCTGATCCTACTTATAATAAGCAAGGTAAAATA